ATAGTTCCACACTCACTCAGCATGTACATAGAAGCCTTCCACTAGCAAAGCAGGGGGAAAGCAGAAACCAGCTTCCCAGAGCAACCACTAGAGGCTGAAACTCCTGTACAAGATTGTCTCTGCGCATGGGGGCGGCCATTTTCTTGTAGCACAAATTATCATTTAAACTTTTAAAGTGCTTTATGCTGCTATTAGGACTGCTGGGACTTGTTGTTCAATATTGGCCGCAGACACCGGGACCGCTGGGTCTTGTAGTGTCATATTGGCTGCAGAAACTGGGGCCGCTGGGACATGTAGTGCCATATTGGCTGCAGACACCGGGACCGCTGGGACTTGTAGTGCCATATTGGCCGCAGACACCGGGACCGCTGCGACTTGTAGTGCCATATTGGCTGCAGACACTGGGACCACTGGGACTTGTAGTGCCATATTGGCCGCAGACACCGGGACCGCTGGGACTTGTAGTGCCATATTGGCCGCAGACACCGGGACCGCTGGGACTTGTAGTGCCATATTGGTGGCAGACACCGGGATCGCTGGGACTTGTAGTGCCATATTGACTGCAGACACCGGGATCGCTTGGACTTGTAGTGCCATATTGGCGGCAGACACCGGGATTGCTGGGACTTGTAGTGCCATATTGGCCGCAGACACCGGGACCGCTGGGTTTTGTAGTGCCATATTGGCCGCAGACACCGGGATCGCTGGGACTTGTAGTGCCATATTGGCTGCAGACACCGGGATCGCTGGGACTTGTAGTGCCAAATTGGCCGCAGACAGCGGGATTGCTTGGACTTGTAGTGCCATATTGGCTGCAGACACCGGGACTGCTGGGATTTGTAGTGCCTTTTTGGCTGCAGACACTGGGATCGCTGGGACTTGTAGTGCATTATTGGCTGCAGACACGGGACCGCTGGGATTTGTTGTGCCATTTTGGCCGCAGACACCGGGACCTCTGGGACTTGTAGTGCCATATTGGCGGCAGACACCGGGATTGCTGGGACTTGTAGTGCCATATTGGCTGCAGACACAGGGAACGCTGGGATTTGTAGTGCCATATTGGCTGCAGACACCGGGACTGCTGTGAGTTGTAGTGCCATATTGGCTGTAGACACCGGGACCGCTGGGACTTGTAGTGCTATATTGGCTGCAGACACCGGGATCGCTGTGACTTGTAGTGCCATATTGGCTGCAGACACCGGGACCGCTGGGACTTGTAGTGCCATATTGGCTGCAGACACAGGGAACGCTGGGATTTGTAGTGCCTTTTTGGCTGCAGACACAGGGATCGCTGGGACTTGTAGTGCCATATTGGCTGTAGACACCGGGACCGCTGGGACTTGTAGTACCATATTGGCTGCAGACACTGGGACCTCTGGGACTTGTAGTGTCATATTGGCTGCAGACACAGGGACCGCTGGGACTTGTAGTGCCATATTGGCTGCAGACACCCAGGGCCGCTGGGACTTGAAGTGCCATATTGGCTGCAGACACCGGGACTGCTGGGACTTGTAGTTCCATATTGGCTGAAGACACCGGGATCGCTGGGACTTGTAGTGCCATATTGGCCGCAGACACCGGGATCGCTGGGACTTGTAGTGCCAAATTGGCCGCAGACACCGGGATTGCTGGGACTTGTAGTGCCATATTGGCCGCAGACACCGGGATCGCTGGGACTTGTAGTGCCAAATTGGCCGCAGACAGCGGGATCGCTTGGACTTGTAGTGCCATATTGGCCGCAGACACCGGGACTGCTGGTATAGTATGCCTCCCCTCCCTCCATGTGGGGTCCTGCGTTTTCAGTCCCCATGTCCTCTCCTAGTCCATCCTTTTGAATTATTATGATGTTACTTTCTGCCTCCATTGACATCATGGATCTCTCTTCCATCCCCCCTCCTCCACACCCGGCATGGGGGTGTCCGCTCCTCTCCTGTCCGCCCTACGCTGGGCTCCGGAAACATGGCTGCCAGGACAGGGCGCCTCCGCCTATTGGCCAGTCACATGGTCCAGGCAGCATGCTGGGGAGAGATTGCAGCAGGTACGGGTGGGAGATCAGAGGACGACATTAGGAAGGGGTGGGGTCACGGCTGTATAAAGGGGGAGGGGGGGTTCAATGAATGCATGTACATGGGTACACTTTTGGATGATTATATACATTTGATGAATGGACGAATGTCGGCCAAAAATTGCTTTTTGCTTTGGACCTTCAACTTTAAAGGGAATGTCATTTCTGAACGATCACCCCATCCACGGGACAAAAATTCGTTTGATGGAGAAAAGTTTTCCTTCCTCAAATTTTCCCGTCACTGCCGTCAAAAATGAATATCGATTTGACCCCCCCTAAGGTTGGCCACACATGGGTAGATTTTTGGACGAGAATAGTTGTAAGAAAAGTCGTAGGAAAATTCTTTGAACATTCGATGGACAAATGTCATTCAAAATTGTCTCTAGCTTCAACTTCCCTTCAACTTTAAAGGACAATCACCCCATCCACTGGATGAAAATACGTTTGCTGGAGAAACGTTTTCCTTCCTCCCCCTTTCGAATTTTCCCGTCACCCCCATCAAAAATGAACATCGATTTGACCCCCCCTAAGGCTGGCCACACACGGGTAGATTTTCGAACAAGAATATTCGTAAGAAAAGTCGTAAGAAAATTCTTTGAACGTTTGATGAATGGATGAATGTCGTCCGAAAATTGCCTTTTGCTTTGAACCTTCGACTTTAAAATGAATGTCATTTCTGAACGATCACCCCATCCACAGGACAAAAAATGCCATCTGTTCTACTTTTTTTCCCTGCAATGCACCGGAACTGCGAGGGCTGACATGACGTCTGACCCTGGCCACCACGTCACCCCCTTTCTGTGCGGTTCTTCATATGGAAGCAGTGGATGCTCCGGGACGTAACTTGGGCCCCTGTACATCAGAGCTCAAACTGGGGGAGGGGGGAGCAGCTAAAGGAGCCAATCAGCTGCGTTGCTGTGCTAACAAGGGAAATGCTGATAGGTGGAAAGAACAGCGTGAGAGAGAGAGATGAGCTCATTGGTCCGCTGCTGCCACGTTTGTTGTCCAGTCGGGGGGGGGGGGGGGGGGGGGGTGGACAAGACCTGTAAGTGTTGATGAATTGCATCAAAGGAAAAAAAATCAGATTTCCTGCCAGACAGGAATGTGCTGCGTGGCAGAGATGTGTGAATCTCAGGACTGGATAGACAGAAATACAAATCTTTTATTTTATTGACTTCAATGCAGAAAGACTCCCATTGACTTCAATGCAAAAACACCTCTCATTGACTTCAATGCATAAAGACTCTCATTGACTTCAATGCAAAACGACTCTCATTGACTTCAATGCAAAAAGTCTCCCATTGACTTCAGTGCAAAAATGCCTCCTATTAACTTCAATGCAAAAACATCTCTCATTGACGTCAATGCAAAAAGACTCCCATTGACTTCAATGCAAAAAGACTCCCATTGACTTCAATGCAAAAAGACTCCCATTGACTTCAATGCAAAAAGACTCCCATTGCCTTCAGTGCAAAAATGCCTCCCATTGACTTCAATGCAAAAACACCTCTCATTGACTTCAATGCAAAAAGACTCTCATTGACTGTAATGCAAAAACACCTCCCAATGCCTCCCATTGACTTCAATACAAAAATGCCTCCCACTGACTTCAATGCAGATACAACTCCTATATATGTGTTCTCTCTGTAGTACAGCTGACATGTGAAACTCAATCCTGCCACCGTCTTCAGCCATGGAGGCCACCATCTTGGCCTGTGCCTGATCTTCACATGTGATCCATTATGACACCAGCTGACCGATGGTCTGACAATTTGGTTGAGAGCACAAGCACCTGTGACAGTTAGCTATCCCGATATGCCTTGAACGATTTTTGAAATTGGTAAATCGATGGGTTTAGTTCCACTTCCAGTGGATCAGATCGGGGAATTTATATTTATTGTCTTTTATGTCTTTTTATGTCTAGAAAACAGAATAAAGAAATGTCTGTCAGGCCTCCGGGGATTCCTGGAAGTGAGAGGATATTACGGCTCACCCTGGAGATCGTCTACCTGCTGACCGGGAGGTGAGGAGGATTCTGGGAGGTCACTTTGATATAGATCAAATATAGCAGGGCTCGAAAATCCCAGGCACCATAAATACAAAACCGCCTCCCATTGACCTCAATGCAAAAACGCCTCCCATTGACTTCAATGCAAAAATTCCTCCCATTGACTTCAATGCAAAAACACCTCTCATTGACTTTGGACGAGTGTGACTTTCATTGCGACTTTACAGCGCGACTTCGATGCGACTTTGGAACGAGTGCGACTTTGGCTTTGACCAAGGATGATTGTTTTTGATTTACAAAGTCGCACGTATATTGTTCAGACACGAGTTTTGGAGGGTTTTCATTGAAGTCTATGGCCCTCCAGTCGCATGAAAGTCAAACTACTTTCACATCGCCGTGGCCTGAAGTTGCACAGAAATGAATGGCGGCTCATTGGGAAAACATGTGGTGTGACCTGTCATGCGACGTTGGACCCCAAAGTCGCATGACAAGTCGCACAAGTGTGAATGGGCTCTAACCCTTTTCTAGTTTGTAAGCAATGGAACCGAAGGCTAAAAAAAAGTTTAATCCTTTGATTTTGGAGCCGATAAATGACACTGAACCATAAAGGCATCTTTTCCATCTTGTTCCATCCAATTCTCTCATCGCTGTGGTAATAATAGATGACAGACAGACAGACAGACAGACAGACAGACAGACAGACAGAGACAGACAGACAGACAGACAGACAGACAGACAGATAAAAAGCATCAATATTGCAAACAATCTCCAAAATCATACCGTCAATACTGAGAACTGTCCTCTGCAAACTTCTATATCGCCATCGTCCTGAAGAAGCTGAAAAAGCAAAACCCGTTGCCCTTTTGGAGGACGTAATGCTATAGAGCGGTGGTCTCCAAACTGTGGCCCTTTGCTTGCCTCTATCTGGGATACTACTCCTCCCACTCATACCAACAAGGAGGCACCAATTCTTCCACTAGAGGCACTACTAGGCACCAACTATGGGGCATTTTTCCTTCCACTAACACCAATGATGGGGCACAAGGTACTATTCCTCCAACTAATACCAAGGACGGGGCACTATTCCTTCATCTGACACCAATGATGGGGCACTATTCCTTCATCTGACACCAATGATGGGCACTATTCCTTCATCTGACACCAATGATGGGGCACTATTCCTTCATCTGACACCAATGATGGGGCACTATTCCTTCATCTGACACCAATGATGGGGCACTATTCCTCCCACTGATACCAATGATGGGGCACTATTCCTTCATCTGACACCAATGATGGGACACTATTCCTCCCGCTGACACCAATGATGGGGCACTATTCCTTCCTCTGACACCAATGATGGGGTACTATTACTTTCTCTGACACCAATGATGAGGCACTATTCCTCCCACTAATAGCAATGATGGGGCACTATTCCTCCCACTGACACCAATGATGGGGCACTATTCCTCCCACTGATACCAATGATGGACACTATTCCTCCCACTGACACCAATGATGGGGCACTATTCCTCCCACTGATACCAATGATGGGACACTATTCCTCCCACTGATACCAATGATGGGGCACTATTCCTCCCACTGACACCAATGATGGGCACTATTCCTCCCACTGACACCAACATGGGGCACTATTCCTCCCACTGACACCAACGATGGGACACTATTCCTCCACTGACACCAACGATGGGGCACTATTCCCCCACTGACACCAATGATGGGGCACTATTCCTCCCACTGACACCAATGATGGGGCACTATTCCTCCCACTGACCCAATATGGGGGCTCTATTCCTCTCACTGACACCAATGATGGGCACTATTCCTCCCACTGACACCAATGATGGGGCACTATTCCTCCCACTGACACAATGATGGGCACTATTCCTCCCACTGACACCAATGATGGGGCACTATTCCTCCCACTGACACCAATGATGGGGCACTAATTCCTCCCACTGACACCAATGATGGGCACTATTCCTCCCACTGACACCAATGATGGGGCACTATTCCTTCACTGACACCAATGATGGGGCACTGACTAATCCTCCCACTGACACCAATGATGGGCACTATTCCTCCCACTGACACCAATGATGGGGCACTATTCCTCCCACTGACACCAATGATGATGGGGCACTATTCCTCCCACTGACACCAATGATGGGGCACTATTCCTCCCACTGATACCAATGATGGGGCACTATTCCTCCCACTGACACCAATGATGGGGCACTATTCCCCCACTGACACCAATGATGGGCACTATTCCCCCACTGATACCAATGATGGGGCACTATTCCTCCCACTGACACCAATGATGGGGCACTATTCCCCCCACTGACACCAATGATGGGGCACTATTCCTCCCACTGACATACCAATGATGGGCACTATTCCTCCCACTGACACCAATGATGGGGCACTATTCCTCCCACTGACACCAATGATGGGGCACTATTCCCCCCCACTGACACCAATGATGGGGCACTATTCCTCCCGCTGACACCAATGATGGGGCACTATTCCTCCCCACTGACACCAATGATGGGGCACTATTCCTCCCACTGACACCAATGATGGGGCACTATTCCTCCCACTGATACCAATGATGGGGCACTATTCCTCCCACTGACACCAATGATGGGCACTATTCCTCCCGCTGACACCAATGATGGGGCACTATTCCTCCCACTGACACACCAATGATGGGCACTATTCCTCCCACTGACACCAATGATGGGGCACTATTCCTCCCACTGACACCAATGATGGGGCACTTCCTCCCACTGACACCAATGATGGGGCACTATTCCTCCCACTGACACCAATTATGGGGCACTATTCCTCCCACTGACACCAATGATGGGGCACTATTCCTCCCACTGACACCAATGATGGGCACTATTCCTCCCCACTGACACCAATGATGGGGCACTATTCCTCCCACTGACACCAATGATGGGGCACTATTCCTCCCACTGACACCAATGATGGGGCACTATTCCTCCCACTGACACCAATGATGGGGCACTATTCCTCCCACTGACACCAATGATGGGGCACTATTCCTCCCACTGACACCAATGATGGGGCACTATCCCTCCCACTGACACCAATGATGGGGCACTATTCCTCCCACTGATACCAATGATGGGGCACTATTCCTCCCACTGACACCAATGATGGGCACTATTCCTCCCACTGACACCAATGATGGGGCACTATTCCTCCCACTGATACCAATGATGGGGCACTATTCCTCCCACTGACACCAATGATGGGGCACTATTCCTCCCACTGACACCAATGATGGGGCACTATTCCTCCACTGACACCAATGATGGGGCACTATTCCTCCCACTGACACCAATGATGGGGCACTATTCCTCCCACTGACACCAATGATGGGACACTATTCCCCCACTGACACCAATGATGGGGCACTATTCCTCCACTGACACCAATGATGGGGCACTATTCCTCCCACTGACACCAATGATGGGGCACTATTCCTCCCCACTGACACCAATGATGGGGCACTATTCCCCCCACTGCACACCAATGATGGGGCACTATTCCCCCCACTGACACCAATGATGGGACACTATTCCTCCCTCTGATACCAATGATGGGGCACTATTCCTCCCCACTGACACCAATGATGGGGCACTATTCCCCCACTGACCCAATGGGGAACTATTCCTCCCCTACCCCAATGATGGGGCACTATTCCTCCCGCTGACACCAATGATGGGCACTATTCCTCCCACTGACACCAATGATGGGGCACTATTCCTCCCACTGACACCAATGATGGGGCACTATTCCTCCCACTGACACCAATGATGGGGCACTATTCCTCCCACTGACACCAATGATGGGCACTATTCCTCCCACTGACACCAATGATGGGGCACTATTCCTCCCACTGACACCAATGATGGGGCACTATTCCTCCCGCTGACACCAATGATGGGGCACTATTCCCTGACACCAATGATGGGGCACTATTCCTCCCACTGACACCAATGATGGGGCACTATTCCTCCCACTGACACCAAATGATGGGGCACTATTCCTCCCACTGACACCAATGATGGGGCACTATTCCTCCCACTGACACCAATGATGGGGCACTATTCCTCCCACTGACACCAATGATGGGGCACTATTTCCTCCCACTGACACCAATGATGGGGCACTATTCCTCCCACTGACACCAATGATGGGGCACTATTCCTCCCACTGACACCAATGATGGGGCACTATTCCTCCACTGACACCAATGATGGGGCACTATTCCTCCCACTGACACCAATGATGGGGCACTATTCCCTCCCACTGACACCAATGATGGGACACTATTCCTCCCACTGACACCAATGATGGGCACTATTCCTCCCACTGACACCAATGATGGGGGCACTATTCCTCCCACTGATACCAATGATGGGGCACTATTCCTCCCACTGACACCCAATGATGGGGCACTATTCAATTCCTCCCACCTGACACCAATGATGGGGCACTATTCCTCCCACTGACACCAATGATGGGGCACTATTCCTCCCACTGACACCAATGATGGGGCACTATTCCTCCCACTGATACCAATGATGGGACACTATTCCTCCCACTGACACCATGATGGGGCACTATTCCTCCCACTGATATCAATGATGGGGGCACTATTCCTCCCACTGATACCAATGATGGGGCACTATTCCTCCCACTGACACCAATGATGGGGCACTATTCCTCCCACTGACACCAATGATGGGGCACTATTCCTCCACTGACACCAATGATGGGGCACTATTCCTCCACTGATACCAATGATGGGGACACTATTCCTCCCACTGACATCCAATGATGGGGCACTATTCCTCCCACTGACACCAATGATGGGGCACTATTCCTCCCACTGACACCAATGATGTGGGCACTATTCCCCACAGATACCAATGATGGGGGCACACCACTGACAGAATGGGGGCAACTATTCCTCCACTGACACCAATGATGGGGCACTATTCCTCCCACTGACACAATGATGGGGCACTATTCCTCCCACTGATACCAATGATGGGGGGGCACTATTCCTCCCACTGACACCAATGATGGGGCACTATTCCTCCCACTGACACCAATGATGGGGCACTATTCCTCCCACTGACACCAATGATGGGGCACTAATCCTTCCCACCCACTGACATAAATGATGGGGCAACTATTCCCCCACTGACACCAATGATGGGGCACTAATTCCACCCCACTGACACCAATGATGGGGCACTATTCTCCCACTGACACCAATGATGGGGGCACTATTCTACTGACCCAAAGAGGGGCACCACTGACACCAATGAGGGGACACTATTCCTTCCACTGATAACCAATGATGGGCACTATTCCCTCCCACTGACACCAATGATGGGGCACTTCCTTCCTCCCCACTGACACCAATGATGGGGCACTAATTCCTCCCACTGACACCAATGATGGGGCACTAATCCTCCCACTGACAACCAATGATGGGACACAATTCCTCCCCCCGACTGACACCAATGATGGGAACTATCGATCCTCCCACTGACACCAATTGATGGGGCACTATTTTTCTACCCACTGATACAAATGATGGGGCACTATTCCTCCCACTGACACCAAAGATGGGGCACATTCCTCCCACTGACACCAATGATGGGCACTATTCCTCCCACTGACACCAATGATGGGGCACTATTCCTCCCACTGACACTAATGATGGGTCACACTATTCCTACAACTCTCTCCCTCGTCCACATTCCCCCACCCAATGACACCAATGATGGGGCACTATTCCTCCCACTGACACCAATGATGGGGGCACTATTCCTCCCACTGACACCAATGATGGGGCAACTATTTCCTCCACTGACACCAATGATGGGGCACTAATTCCTCCCACTGACACCAATGATGGGGCACTATTCCTCCCCACAGATACCAATGATGGGGCACTAGTCCTCCCACTGAACAACCATGATGGGGCACTATTCCTTGCACACTGACCACCAATGATGGGGCACTATTCCCCCACTGACACCAACGATGGGGCACTATTCCTCCCACTGACACCAATGTATGGGGCACTATTCCTGATCCCACTGACACCAATGATGGGGCACACTAATCCTATCCTCCCACTCGACACCAATGATGGGGCAACTATCCTCCCACTGAT